GCTGCTGGAGATCCATTGTTTCTGTCTCTCTGCGGGTGATGTTGAAGAAGGCGGCGTCGAACTGCTTGCCGTTCTGCTCGCCGTCGCGCAGGAAATGCCCGCCCTTTACCGTGTTGCTCCCCGCGCGCTCCTGCGACGGATGGTAGTGTGCGTCCTGGTTCCATCTCGATGACGGGACTTCGGACCAGGCCGACTTGCCGTCCATCAGCAGATCCCATAATTTCGAGGGACTCGTGGCGTCGCCGGGGAAGCGGCAGGCCATGCCGATGATGGCGATGTCCTCGTCGAGGCCATGAATCGTTGACCCCATTGTGCCGTCTTGTTGATGTGAGAATGTAGTTTATACAGGAGCCCGGGTGAAGAACCAAGGCAGTTGGGTACGGAAGGGTATAAATAACTTGTATCCAGTAGACGAAACCTGGGACATCATACTTGTATGAAATTAGACGGAAATCGGTTGTTAGACGTGATTCCCTTCACATTGAATCGACCAACCATCCGGCATGTAGTGATCCCTTGTCTGTAATGGGCCGCGTTAGCCCAAATGCCCCTCATTCAAACAACCCCCCGCATGGGACCTACGTTGAATTTCCTCATCTTCAAAGCAGTGTAGCCAAAACTCCACAGCTTCAACGGTCTATCGAAAGATAAACCGGTCTCGGGCCTTCTGCCACACATGACCTCAAAGGCCTGAGTTTCACTGACCAATCAGAACCCTTACAATCAACTCCCCTTCAAATGCAACGCATCCTGAATCGCCAAGCCCCACGGGCACTAGCGGATAACCGATAAAATGCGGTCCCCAAGGGCACCCCGGGCCGACTACTTCTCGAATGTGGGCAACACTCCGCACCATGTTATCACGGCACTGAGAGCTCCATACAGGCGGGGGGCTGTCACGGCTGAAGGAGGCGTATGAGCATTCAATACCACACATGTGGGCTGCTGTAGTACATCAGAAGAGGGGAGAAGAAGGGGGGGTGGTTGTTTATCAAACATATGTATCTGTTATATAGCGCCTTCATGCTCTGTCAAGGCCTTCATATCCTGTTCTTCCCCTTGCTGGTTATTTGGGTGTTCTGCTAGGCTTTCGACGATTCAAGTAGGACTCACGCCACAATGCAGCGCGCAGAATGGTTCATGCCGCCGCTGGCACTGGTGCCGGCGGTGGTCCTGATCGTATACCTAATCTACAACTACTTGATCTTTCCGACCCCTCGTTCAATCGCCAAATTGAGATTCCTCAACGTCGAGCCCGGTACATGGGCGCCGTATTATCGGGCACTCTACCGCAACACCTTGGACTTGAAAAAGACGCTTCGCCTGCACCACACACAACACAAGAATGAGACGGTCCGCGTCCCCATCCTGGGCCCGGGCCAAAACAAGCTGATCCTGCTGCCCTCTGCCGAAAGAAAGTGGCTCGTGGATCAGCCCGACTCCATCGTGAGCATGCACGATCAGACCATCAACCACTTCCAGTGGGATCTTGGCACCATTTATCCCACTCGGGATCACAACCAGGTGACCATCCACATCATAGCCACCAAGCTCACCCGGGAGATCGGCAACCTGATTCCAGCCCTCTCGGACGAGCTTGACCTTGCCCTGGCGAAGCACTGGGGCGACGAAGACGATGGCGAGTGGAAGGAGGTGGGTGTTTACGACACGCTGAGGCCCATCATAAGCCAGGCAATCAACCGCATCTTCATCGGGAAGAGACATTGCCGGAACGAAGAGGTGCTCGAAACCGGCTTCTCATACGCAAAGGTCATTCCTCTCGAGGCGAACTTGCTCTGGCTGCTTCCGACCCCGCTGCGTCGTCTCCTGGCGCCTCTGCTTACCTTGCCATCCCGCTGGTGCGAGAGGAAATGGTTCCGGCTCACAATCGACGAGGTCCGCAGACGGTTGGAGGCCAGAGGCCATCCGCAACAACACGGCACGGGATCCGAGACCGATGGCTGGCAAGAAGATGAAGAAGCAGACGAACCCGACCTGCTGAGCTGGTACATTGCGTACGGAGAATCCCAGGGCGACCCGTACCTCCTGGACCCGGAAGTCCTCTCGGCGCGCATCTTACTCCTCAACGCCTTCGCGCTGCACACCAACGTCTTCGCCATCGTGCACATGATCCTCGACATTGTCGGTTCCGGCGCCGAACAGGGTCCGAAGATTGTGGCCCAGCTCCGTCAGGAAATCAACGAGGTCCGCGCCGCCGACGGCGGGCAGCAGCAAGGGTGGGACAAACGATCGCTGGCCCGGCTCGAGCGGATGGACAGCAGCTTCCGGGAAAGCCAGCGCGTCAACACCATCTTGAGCCTGGGCCCGCTGCGCATCGTGGGCAAGGACGGCGTCACGACCCCTTCCGGCGTCCAGATCCCGCGCGGCTACCAAGTCGGAATCCCGGCGTACTCGATCCACTTTGATACTGACATCTACGGGCCCGACGCGGAGGCATTCAACCCGTTTCGCTTCTACGATAAGCGAAAGGATGCGCGAGGGGCCGGTGATAACATCAAAGGAGCGAGGCAGGCATGGGCCACCACGTCAGCCGACTACTTGTCCTTTGGGGCCGGGCTAAACAGCTGTCCCGGACGTTTCTTTGCCTCTGGGATGTTAAAGGTGCTGATGGCCAACATCCTGCTCAAGTATGACTTTGAGTTCCAAGAAAAGAGACCGGAGAATCTGTGGTTTGGAACAAACCATATACCGCCGCTCAAGGCAAAGATTAGAATCAGGAGGAGACAGTGAATTTGCAAGACCAGACTAGCAAAGTCCATTTTCCGCAATACTACATAGTAGATCCTGCGCGTACACGACCGACCCAACCAGGACCTTAGACGTAGTTCCACAAGTCCATCTTCGTCCAGTTTCACCCACTGAAATTGAAATGACAGCGGTCTATGGAAACATTCAGGCATGGACGATGGATACCACAATCTTGACGTCTTCCAATACGTACGAAGTACACATGGATCGCTAAGCAGGGGTAGTCCTGCCAAGTCTTCCGGACTCCCCAGAGTCCAGATTAATCCATGCAGCTTGATTCCCCGTTTTCCTGCTTGGGAAACTCCAAATTGCCTCCCCACGGGCAACATCTCCCGACGGGATAAGCCATGAATCATGTCATCCTCCGCTCTGCTGTACTTATCCTGTCACACGTGGTCTTGCGATGTGGGCTTTCTGACTCTCTAATCCACCGTATGGAGCGGCAAATGCGCTTGCGGTCAAACAGCCGCTTGTTTCGCTGTTTTTCTTCATCCGGTTTTTCATCAGTCTCGTATGTAACCTGTATCCTTGTAGTTTGCTATCACGAATGAGACCATGGTGGATCACAGGGCAAGGGCTGAATGCTGGGGGCATTCTGGCAATCGAACACCCCCTGCAGACTCGAGTCAAGTCCGTTCCTCAGTGCAAGACGAGAGAATACATGGGTACTGGGTAATAGGTCTTATGTCCTAGGGTCGCCATTCCCTGCCGTAAGGTTTTATCTGCCATCGCGGCACAGGCAAACAAGCTGATCCAACAAGTGTAGTATTCTAACTTGTCGTGTATGAGTTATAAGCTTAAAACCTTGATACCTTCGGATTGCTTGGCAACTACCATCCTCAAAAGCAACAAAGTCTTTTCCAAATATTGGTCTTGCCAGTGTCTAAAGATGCCTATACGAATTTTATGTCTGCACGGCAGGGGTTCCAACACCGAGGTGGGCGATTTTCATTTGTTTGGCAGCGCAGAAACTACACCACCACCACTGAGTGACTAATGCTTCGTCGTCCTTGTAGATTTTCCGGATGCAGACGGCTGGCATACGAAGCTTGCTGGAGCCAGAATACGAGTTTGAATTTGTAGAGGGCCGGTGGCCCCATTTGGAGGGGAACTGGTCTCTGCACACAGTCGACTTTTCAAAGTCAAATGTAAGCATTCGGGGCTCCATCTGATTGAGGCGCAGGCCTTGAAAGCCTTGCCAGTTTTCTGCTTGCCAAAATGACTACCTTAGTCTGGCCTCAGAAAAGAAGACATTGACATTGCTAACAACTACCGTGATGACTTGCGCTTTAGCTGTATGGATTTTACAACATGCTGGACATCGATGACATTCTAGCCACTGAGAACGAGCTGCGTCAAGTGATAGAGGACCATGGTCCTTTCGATGGTTTGCTGGGATACTCGTAAGTCGGCGGAAAGTCTCTATGCATCGAAAGAGATGGATCGGAATGATGAAACCATCACAATTGGTGCTTTCGCCCATGGGAAAAAGTCTAACTTGAACCAGCCAGGGTGGATCGATGGCTGCTCAAATCGCCATCCGACTCCTAATGGAGAACCCATACGCCACACCACAGGAGTTACCAATCAAGTTCCTGGTGCTCATCAACAGCGCCGTGCCGCCTTTCATCATGCCGTTGGATGAGCAAAAGGTCACGGAGCTGCCGATTGAAGAGGCGCCAAAGCTGCGGATGCTGTTTGATGTCTTCAAAGCAGATCCTGCCGAACACCTGGACGAATTGCGGCCAGCGAAGCTCGCCAATGGTAGACAGGTAAGCATATGAAGACTGGTCGACTTTGATTGAAATGCACGGTGCCGGCTGACGATATGAAAATCGACCTCTCCAGGCTCTCGTGAATAAAACGCACTACATGACCTTTTTTGACAACACTTGGGATGGCCACCCACTCTACATGCCATCGCTGCACATCACCGGCCTGGGCGATGCCCCCGAGTACGGCCAGCAGCTGTTTGACATTGCCGAACCCAGTGAAGCGGAGCAAATTAAGCATGTGTTTGGGCACGACTTTCCAAGAGGGCTGGATATGAACAAGACGATTGCTAGGGCGATAAGGGCGATGGCAGAGAAAGCTCTATAAGAGAATTGAAATGAGAACTTTCGCAGCATCATTCCATACATGTTACTAGAGTATATCCAGTATAAATCCAATATCATTCCACCTATACGCCTAAGCAATTATTTCTACCCATACCTAATCTTGAACTGTATTCAGTCATTTGCAGCCAGGAGCCCAAACTCGGCAACCGTTGCCCCGGCACCATCGTCAGTCCAGCAGCCTGTAACCTCGAGTTTCGCAAATGCGCCACTCCAAACGGGCTCGGTGAGCGGGATGGTGGTAATGTTTCCTACATATTTCACCGCCGGCGAGTCCGGGACCCACGGCTTCGTGATGCGGATATCTTGATCCGCTAGTACCGTCTCGGACTCGAAATCCGAGCTATTCGAAACCGAAACCTTGACGTGCTTTGGCGGCCGCATGGCAAAATCCAGTCGGATAGCCTCCAGAAGCCGCGGCGCCTGGGAAGCTCCCAGTTCCACTACAACAGCGGCCGTGGCATCGCATGTACCGGGCTGCCAAAAGGTGCCTCCGTATCCGTCAGTGGCTGCAAACGCTAGCTCGCCATGCGATGAGGTTGCGCCGTGGCATTGCAAGATGTTGCCCGGGACAGAAATCGCGGCATCATACAGCCTATTCTGTATTACAACCGTGTCATTGACGCGCAATAATACCGTCCGCGCGTTGGGATCGTCCACGTCTCGGCCGACGGTGATGGGCATGTCCTCCTTTCCGTACTGGTCCGGCACCAAACCGTTGAAATGAGACGCGTCGCGGCGCGTGATAACAGTATGCGTGCGATTCATGCGGAAGCTGACGACGGCGCCATTGTAATACTGGATGGGTGGCTTGAAGTTCTGGAGCTGCGGAGGGAGGGACGGGTTAATCACCAAATTTCGCTGCGTAACGCGTAAGCCGAGGAACCCCGCCGTGAATGTCTGCAGGAGGCCGCCGTGGCCGGTCAGGAACGGAAAAGCCGGGTTAATGGGGTTCCCGGTCAGAGGATCCAGGACTCCGGGCTCGTCGTCTTGCTGTTCGGAATACTGGTACCAAGGGCCGCGGATATAAGGCTGGAACGATTTGACCAGATATGTCCAGAACGCGCATCCGGAAGTGGCCAGGGAGTTGGCCGTGATGGCATACATGCTCCATGTCATGGCTGGGCCGTGGGGATCCGTGCGGACTGCGTAAAAGTCCATCGCAGCTCGATATTTGGCGAGCGAGAAATTCCGCTTGTAGTCGTAGGGATAATGGGACAAGATAACGTCTGCCTGTTTGGGGAAGACATCGTTGGTCATGCCCTGGAATTCAAGCACAACGTCGTCATCCGAAGTGGGTATTGACATGTGCTCGAGCTGGTCAAGCCAGTCGGTCTCGGGCGGGATGCCCCGTTCATGACGAGCCTCGGAGGCGAGTTGTAGGAGAGTGCTGACTGCAGTACTAGTAAATGAACCGTCTGCAATCCACATGTAATATTCGTCGGCATCGGCCATCACGTCGATCCCCCAGACACCCGTGTCCTCTCGTCGTGTCAGTATATCGCTTAAGCCCACGGCTACGCCGTCGATGACGTCCACAGCCCCGTGCTTTTCAAACCAATTCCTATCGCCGCTTGTGTTCCTGCCCATGGTCATGCTCAAGGCGATATCAGCATTGAGGTGGTACTGGTACATGATGCAGGGTGCAGACATGTTGTAGCATTGCCCATATCGACCGCTTGTCCATGCATAGAGCATGCTACCAGCTTTCAGATTATGCCTCTTTGTGTTTTTGCGAGACTGATCTGCCCGATTAATGCGATACAGCGCAAACTGTCTCGCCAACTTGGGGTGCACTCCTTGGATGGCGGGCGCCACGAAAAGATCAGCGTCCCAGAAAATCTTGCCTCCGTATGTCTGGGAAACCAGGCCGCCGACGGAAAGAGAGTTGCACGCAATGCAAGTGCTTGGGCTCTCGTCACGCATCGGGCTCCATGGGATGAGGCTCGTGTAAAGATAGTAAGCAGAGGAGATGGCTGTGATCTGCAAAGCTTTTACCACGTCGCCGCCGCTGTCTAATGGGAGCGATCCTGTCGCTGGATCTCTAAAGTCAGCCACAAAGTCCGCACTCATGAGCTTGCCTACTTCCGCGCTATGCTCCTGGCGTAAGACATGATATCCGCGCTTTATGGCAGATGACAAAACGTCCGAGACCACTGTCTCTGTGTCCGACCCATAGTGCTCTGTTGAGGCAATAGCTGCGTATTTATAAATCGTTGCGGACTGTGAACCGGATTGTACCCGATACCGCTGCGTTGAGGAAACGCTTTCAGAGTCTGCGTAGGATGAGTTGGCTGAACCCGATGTTGCCGAGTTATCGAAGGCGGAAAAAGAGTCGCTCGTGTATTCGTCCTTGCTCTCAAGGCACAACAACTCGTTCCCAAGCGTCGACGACAGCACATGCGCCACGACATGGTCGACTGTGTCTGGTGAAACAGCAGAAAAGACCTGGCTGCTGGCTTGATTCACACCTGTCTTGACAGTTCTCGTGCGCAAAGCTGACTTGTGGTCTTGTGAATCGAGAATGTACACGCCGTCGAGGCCCTGCTCGCTGGATATGACCAGTTTCACAGCTGCCAGACGTCTTTCTGCTAGCGAGGCCAAAGATTCGTAGGATACCCGAAATTTCCGGTCGTCTGCGCAGGTTGGAGGGCTCCAGACATACGACCACGTGAGTATTCCCGTCTTACTGGTAGTAGAGTATATCAAATTAGTGCCCATACTCTTCTGCTTCGTGGAAAAACCTGTGCGCACACGCTCACTTACAAAGACAGCGTCGATTCGAACTCGGTGATCTCGGATACGTCTGCATCTCCATTGAGGACACTTCCACATGCTTCAACGAGCAGATCGGTAAAGTGAGGCACGCCGGAGATGAAACTCTCGCCCAGCTCCCCCGGCTCAAGTGTACTAGGCTTGCTGCCCCAAAAGCCCGTGACAGTGGCGAAAGTTGTTCGAGGCTTGCTGTAAGACGGCCATCCTTCAGAATCATTTCGACGGCTACGCTCATAGAATGGCCCCAGAGAACCTTGGGCGAGGCCAAAATAGCTATTCAAGACATTGCATGTACTTATCAGCTCCCGTACACAGCACAACAGGAGCGAACTGCGCCGTCGACACCCATGATGTTGAAAGATTATAGTTTACATACCCGTTTGACTGTGGTAACCATGCAGTGAATACCCCTGGCAGTGGCTTGGTAGATTTCAGAGTCCATGCAGCATCATCCCAAGACACCCAATCCGCGTTGATGTCAAAGCCTGCACTCGAGGTTGGTGCTCCTCTAGCTACGCGCAAGGTGCACACACATACTAAGAGTAAGGCTGGGAGGTTCATGGCGGGCATTCGAGGTCTGACGAGCCCAGCATTGCGAGTCAAAGGTTGTGTGGATCCTGCCTATCTCTGATGAGTCGACCAGGTGAAAGTAGCGCCGAGGTGATGCATGAGAATCGGACGTCGATGGAGCTGGCGGCTGGGAGAATATAATAAGCGCGTTACTATTGCAGTGCCTATCCCATTCTATGTAATCCACCTCAACCCACTTCTCCTGTCACATCGGCCCATGGGGCATATGCTTCCCCCTCACCCCCTACGCCACGCGCGGGTTGCGAACGCCCCAATCCCAAGGCAAAGATTCCACACGAGCGAAGACAGATTTAAAGTTCGGGGGTTATGGGGCATGTGGGGAGTAGATGTGGTTCCCAGACCGACATTCTGAGGGACTTACTATGTACGCGTACATATTATTTGCGTACGTATACGAGTCAAGACAGTGCGCTAAGCTTGGAACTATGTTTCACGCAGAATGGGGCTCTGATTGTGGGAATATGCATTTGAGTGTTGTGAGTGTATGGAGTATTACTCGAAGGGGGGCCTAAAACTACCTATAGGAATGTAGCATTTCACACAATTTTATGAGGACTGATTATTTCTTATCTGTCACGAAGAGGAGGCCTAACGTGTGATGTGTGTTCAATAAGTTCGCTGAACTTCATAGCGTCTCCTCTGGCTGAAGGTGGCCTTGTTTGAAATGTGTCGTTTTGACGTCTTTCCAGCTCAACCAGCTCCTACGCATTGAGTCCCTAGCTTTTTGCGTACGGAATCGCTTCTCTATGTATTAAATACGTGGTCAAAACTACGATGTTCATTCTTAAACACCGGAAGCGACTCCCTTGGAATCTGTCGACCAAGCAAGCTCATCACCGCAAGACAGATGCCAAATGCCAATCCGCGAGAAGTCGAAGAAATGTCTCATATCCCGTCCCCAGGTGATAGTCTTTTCAACAACGGGGGCCCTAGTTCGGGTGGCTCCTGCGCAAGCGGTTCAGGAAAAGATAGCTCGGGAGCGAATGATGCAGCCTCCATTCAACCTGGAAACAGCGGGAACGACGAGAACGTCATAATTAGACTAACAATTCAACTAGCCGCTTTGTCGAAGAAAGTTGAGCAACTTTTCTTACAAACGTTAAAGCGGACAGTTGTGGTTGAAAGGGGTTTTTGGAACAATATAGACCACCAACATGACCTGGGCGGCAAGCTAATGGTACTGGGGACTAGAGAGTCAGAGCGTTTGAACTTCAAAAAAACGTTCAAGTCGATTCCGTTGGTAACAGTAAGCTTGCGTTCTTTGGATGCGTCGGGATGCGGAAAGCACAAAATACAACTGCTAGTAAGGGAGGCTGACGTGACGGGCTTCACTGTTGTCGCGTCCGTCTGGGCGGATTCGGGGCCATTGTTTTGCGGTGTCTCGTGGATAGCGATTGGGGACTGACGTTAAGGGGATATAAAATTGCTGAATATGCTCGAAGCGGCATCACTTTGGACCTGATGTTTGAACGCAGTCTTCTATTAGCTGTCCACTAGTAGCTGCTGTTCTTAGCTTCCGTCATCATATTCCAGCTACATTCAAGTCATGCGAGGCTTTCCATGTTCAGTCGAGATGGTCTCAAATAAGTTTCATTGCAATGGGAGAAGTAGTTAGACACGGCTTGGTTTGACAGGGAGTTCGAACGACCGGGCTAGAATCCAAATCATATCAAGACTCTGCGCCAGGATTACAGAATAAACGTAGAAAAGAAAGAGCTGATTGAGACCGAGCCTTGGTTCAGATATTCCAGACCCAAATCTTTATACGGCTGGTAGTCTACTAACAAACTTCATCCGTATTTTCCGTAGTCTCAGGCGATCTGCATCAGACGGGCGGTTTCAATCTATCATCCTAGTTGTCTATACATGAAATCTTCCATCACTCAGGCTCGGGGCGAACTCACAAGTGAAGATAGATATTAGAGTGATGATGTCCAAAAGCTGCGAGAGGGCATATATGTCGAAACGGCACCTTCGACTTTCTCATACTCTACGGGCCTGACCTCACCTATACTTGAACCAGATTTGTGACGCATCTACCGAAAGCCCGGATGCTAATAACGCTTGACAAGCGAGTCAGGACAGTGACAGGAGGTTGCACTTATTTCAACCCAAAGGATACTACAACGACCCGGAGGGCTAGAGACCTTTCAAGCATCTCAAATTCTATCAGCCAGGTGGTTGGGTTACTGCGAAAGAGAGCGTTTGAGCTATGGTTGCGAGCTGTTTTCAAAATAACACCACAGAGCCGGTGCAATCATAACTGATAGAAGTGGCTATTGCTGTCTGCTCGATCACCCCTATTTCATCGCCGTAGAAGATGCTCAGCTATTTCATTCTGATCGGGTTCCTGTACGGACTCCGACGATGTTAGAAGCTTGTCCAGGGTTGCACTTGCCAAGTTCCCCATGTATCGCATTCCCTGTCGAGAAGATGGGGAAGAGCCGACATTAGCAACACCAAGGAATTTCGCCTTGCTGCTCGTCCATAAACCTTCTTCTTCACACACGGTGCAAGCAAGAAGACGATTCATTACTAATCTAACAGTCTGAGCAGTCTCGGCAGGTGGCGCTGTAGCTGTCGTGTTTCATCTCCAGCTATGCGCGATTCATGAGATCACTTTCATAATAGACATACTTAGTTTTAGTTCCATAGGTAGCAGTTCTCTATCATAAAAAGAGCTGCCATTGACATTTTTGGGGCTTGGGTGAAAGTATGGCTACCTATGTGGAGCCGAGATCCCGACTATCCGGGGAGCTACGGATACCAAGCCCCAAAGCATTCCACGATTAGGCCGGGGCAAATACCCACTCTCCCGGCCAAGACATGTTGCAGAAAATCGATTACGTACTCGGCAGTTCGGTTACAGTCCGTTGGGTTAACAGCGTCCACCCCCGACTTTGACCCAGAAGGAAAATTTTCCGCTAGCCTAAAACCCCCTAACCCCCCCTAGACTTTACACCGTAATAACTCTATACGTATATAATATATATAAGTAAAAATAAATTATTATAATTAACTAATTTAAAGTTATTAATTAATATATTTTTATTCTTATATTATATATATATATAGATTTATTAAAGTGTGAAGTTTAAAGTAATTTAAAGGGTTTTTAAGCTAGTAGATACTAAATGTAACGCTAAAAAAACGAAGCCTTTTATATATAGTAATAAAAATTATACTATTAAATAGCTTTAACTAGTAGACTAATTAATTAAACTTTTAGCTATACGCATTATGTACGTATAGAGTTATTAATGTATAAAGTTTAGAACGATTTAGTGGTTTTCTAGTAAAAAGCCCCTTTTTTTTTACCCTTTTCGGGCCGAAAATTGGGGGGCGGACGCTGTCAACGCAACGGACTGTAAGCATACCTTGCGCCTTGCTAACGAATTATGTGGCAAGTTCAGTTCAGCTTTTCTGGATGCCGTACACACTGGGACTTTCGCACACTCTCTCGTCAGCAACAACGTTGCATTCGCATCACTTAGAGAAACGGCAACACTGGAAATGACAAGGCCCCGACTAACCTAAGGAAGCAAGACAGACACAACGGCTTGCATGCAACGCCTGCCATTATTTTGATAAAACCTGGGAAGGTTGATTGAAACGGTGGCTTTGGTAAGGCCAGCCCAGGGCCTGCACTCTGTGGGAATTCCTCTTTGAAGAGCATCGTCCGTTTCGCAGATCCCTTCCGTTTTCATTTCCGTCATACTGAGTTGCGATGTCGTTCTCATTGCCATCCATACCCTACCCACCTTCTGGGGATGGCGTTTGGAATCCTGTGACGGCAACCATAAACTGGTGTGAGGAAGTAAGCTTTCACTATCACCCGTTGCTTTTCTTGGAGATGCATCTTCGGGCGGTGATGTATCCGGTGAAGCTGATCAGTGTTCCCAGGACTACTACGTCTCACCATACGTGGCTGAGATTGTAAATACTTTCACAAATGCCATTTTCGTCTACTTGGCATTGGTTGGAATTTCCAGCTGTGTCAGAAACAAGCACCCTGGTGTGTTTCTCGTTGCATACATCGGCTACATGATAATCGGTGTGGCCAGCATCTTCTACCACACCACCTTGAAGTGTTCGTTGCGCCCGGGGACTCTGACTGCGACAAAACTGACAGATGGCAGACTGGATGCAACTGTTCGACGAGCTGTCTATGATATACACCACATGCATCCTTTTCTTTGCAGTGTTTTCCCATGGCAAATCTACCCCAGGTCAGGCTCTGCTTGGCTTCTTCGTCACCAGCTTAGCGGTCTTCATCACCGGTTACTACCACTATCTCGGCGACCCGTTGTTCCACCAAGTCATGTTCGGCATTCTCACTGCCACGGTGGTGTTTCGAAGCCTCTATATCATGGAGAAGATCCTACGGCCCAAATCCGAACCTCAGAGCAAGTCTGAGCACCTTGATGTAGACCTTCTCAAGACCATGTGGACCCTGATTACATGTGGACTAAGCGCCATAGCTATCGGCTTCCTCACATGGAATCTCGACAACATCTTTTGCTCACAGCTGCGTGCCTGGCGTCGGGAACTTGGTTTGCCTTGGGGCGTGCTTCTTGAAGGTCATGGATGGTGGTAAGTTTTGCAACCCAGTTGTCTCCAAAGTGACGAGACGCTCACAAAAGGAAAGGCATTTGTTCACCGGCATCGCTTGCTACATCAATGTAACGTATGGGCTCTGGCTACGTTACTGTCGCGATGGCAAGAAGCGAGAGGTTGTACTAGTCTGGCCCTCAATGTTTTGTTCCGTCCCTACTGTAGAACGTATTCGACCGACAGGCAAGGGTTCGGCGGAGTTCAATGGGAAAACGGAATGATCTACAGCTGCAAATATTAGAAGGCACGCCTGCATCACGGAGACACAGGCTATGGCTATAGGAACTTTCTTACTAGACCTCAAGCCAGCAGAATATGCCACGAACAGCTGCACTCATGCTTCACATCCCGAGTGAGGAGATGCCGATATGCTTAAGTAGCAAGTGCCGCACTGTTACTTAGCAGCACGTTGGCGACTTCATAAGAAAGGACTTGCAGCAGATTTATTCAGGTGGTTGGCGTCTATTGCTTGAAGGTCAATTGACCAAAGAAGGACTGTCTCCTGGCCAGTAGTAGGGTTTTACCATGGTTCTTTGTACGACTTTTCTCGGCAAGTTGTTTATTTTGGCCCTTCGGACCCGTCAGCATCAGCAGATTTTGTTGTCTCAGCCCTCGTTCGCTCCGAATCCAGGTGGCCCACCGCAGCACATGCCACCTTTGTCTGGGCCTGCCGCCAAGTAAAAAAGGTCGGCCTGTCGCTGAAACTACGGCATTGTATTAAGGGGCCTGAATGCCAAGACGTACAGCAGGGTAGTTCATCAGCATATGTCGTCTTTAAGGTTTAACTACCCGTTCCAGATCTTTTTAGAGAACGTAGTAGCCAACCAAGTATGGAAGCTGGCACTAGATATTTTGTCAAAGCACGTGTGATCGTGCATCACAGCCACAGAACCCACCTCCCGTGTCGTAAGGCCAAGACTGGGGCGAAAATATCAGCTTCGTACGCCCTACCCTATGTAAAGACCGAGGCCATCGGCCTTTGGGTCCGAAAGAGCCCACCAAAACACATAATCGCACTGTGAGCGAGAATATGATCGACGGGCCACTCTTCTCCTGGGAATTCATGCAGAAAGGTGCAGTCTTCTATTGATAGACCAAGTCAATTCCTGTGCCAGCCATATTCCGGCCAAACCGTGTTTGAAGCCCTTTCATAGCACTGCCGAGCAGAATCGTCAGCTTTCGAGGCACACTTGACTTGTCATTTGTGTCCACAGCCAGAGCAGAATGTCTACTTGCCTCCATACAACCCCCAAGGGGTATTTTCAGCCCGTCGTGTCATCTTACGTGTTCTGCGGAAGGGCAATATTCAGGAGTTGGTGCCAAGATCCGACTGACTCGAAAGGCTGGCCTTCATGGTTCAATTAGGAAATGTGTCTTGTGACGTCTAGATGTTATTGAACGAACGTCGAACTGTCGAACATTATAAAAAGGTGACAGTGATCGCTCCTTCATAGTCTCTCTTGCTCATACTTCACTCATTCGGTACTCAAAGACTCAAGCTTCTTAACATTCCTTGTCTATCATCACAACGACGAAAAGTCACCAAAGTTTCTACGTATCTTTCAAAATGCAGTTTTCCGTTGCTGTCAGCGCCATCCTTTCGGCCATGGCCGTCCAAACCGCTCTTGCTGCTACCGTATGCGTCATAGGATTCCCCAATTGGTACACCATTAGCTCACAGATTGATAGTGCGACGTCAGCGGGAAGAAAGAGAACTGGCTGGGGCAAGGACAACGAATCTTGCCAGAAACAAAACCCCAACAATGAGATCTGGTGTCTTAATGACAAGGCGAACTACTGCAGCAGAGTCATGAAGCAGGGCACTAACACGCCTGTTTCCGCGACTTGCGTAAGCACATTTACGACTCTCTTTTATTGGCCATATCACTTATTCGTTTCCATCAGGACGCTGATTGCTGCGATACTGTCACCGGCTGGGGAACTGGATGCCCCAAATAGATGTGGGGAATCCAAACATTCATATCTTTTCAGGCCATCACGGAGTTTGTTTGTAAGGCATCTAGCCCTCTCATTCAGCGTCGACATTAGAATATCCATCATTCATTGGGCCAGGGGAGTCTTGATGCATTTTGTGTACTCTGCTTTCAACTCAATATACATGCGCATTAGCCCAACTTTCTACATGCTTCAGCAACACGTGAGAAAGAGACCACTTTTGACGGCCTGCAAATTCGCTCTTTAAGGAATACGGGTTAAGACGGGGGCTTCATCCTTGACATGAGCTGATCGAAAACTTCCAACATCATCGGCATTGTTGAGAAAACAGGTTTGCAACGTCGGCTTAGCCTTGCGGTTCTACTTCAAGCGCGGCACGCTGTACTCGAACATGATGAGAAGATCCAATGTCCTTATCCCCGTGTAAGCGCACCAAAAATTCGACATCTGCCAAGATTGGGAGCTTATTGCCAAGATGGATGCTAGGCACATCGACGCACCAACAGGCATTAGCGTAGCAAGGCGGATTCACCAGCGAACTTTTACTTTTCCTGCCTGAGAATTGGAAAAACATGACCTAATTCCTCAGCCATCCCAATAGTGCTTTTGAAATGAAAATGCCACACGTCGATAAACAGCTCATGCAAACTCATACAAGCGCCTTCTGCAGTGCCCGCGGCCGTCGGATCGCTGCCCAGCCTGGTTTCTTTTCCACTTCACACTGGAAAGCCCCAGCTAAATATGTGACGCAGTAGAGCGGCACAGGAGGCCGCCCACCGCAGGCTCCAACATGAACCTTTATTTAGATACTGCACGCTCAACCCAATCTCAATTGCTTCACACCACAATCAATCCCAACCAATACCAACCGTAATCTCTCGCTTGCCTACACCGACGCAGCACGATGAATGTCTCCCTGAGCCAAGACAGCTCCGGGCCCATTGTCCGACTAGAACTACCCAACGATTGGCCCGAATTCGAGGTCAAGAATGAGTTTAGCGATACCACGGAAACGTGCTTCGTGCGTCTTGCTGCTCAGTTCGCCGCCAGCGAGCTCGATCTTTCTGGATACATGGATGGGGTGTTATCGCATCTGCAGAAGAACGGCCCGAGACACAAGTGGGATGTGCCCGTCAAGAACGGGATGGCCAATTTTATGGAGCTGGACTTGTTTGCTGGAGCAGTAAAGAGATGGTTCCTAGAGCCGAACTTTGTTCCGCTGGAAAAGGAAGGTGAATTATGATCCCTAGTAGAACCATCATGCGTCAAGACCGAGCTGACGCTATTCGCGGTGTATAGACATATCCAGGTTCAAAGAATTGGCCATCCTCGCGTGGACGGTCAGTGACCCTGGTGAATTCGATCGCCGCTGCCAGCAGACTGGTCTTGACCTGAACTCTCTCACGCCAGAAATGGCCGACCTGCTACTTGTAGTCTGCTACTGCAGGCGTCACGCAGCCCTCTTCGCTCACTTCATCAAAAGCTTTCTGGGCCCCCCTCCGCAGACCACATTCGACGCCGTGGACAGTCTCGTGCTGTACAACACCCGCCTCGACCCCAACACAACTCTCTTCCAGCACTCACCGAAAGCGATCACTAACTCGTCAGATGAGATCACCCTGTGGACAGAGATTCTCAACTCGTGCTGGCTGCATGATCCGATCGACGGGGAGAAGGCGCGGTTCCTGGCTATACAGGTCGGCGCCATGGGCATTTATACTAAGGAGACAGATGGCAGTGCGGCCATGGGCACACCAAAAGCGAACGCGTATCTTGTCGCGTTGGCTCAGAGGGGTCTGTATTACGACCTGCCATCGGCCGGGAGGTTCCTCGCATCGTGTAAGTCGGTTACACAGGCACGCGAGTTCCTGGCCATATTCCCACCGGAAAAGATGAAGCACGGTCCCGAACCGTCAGCATATGAATCTGGGTCCATGATTGTAGATATCGCGAACTCGCGGGAGGCGGACGACGAGGTGAGGTCGGCCATCATGGACCTCGTGCTGGAGGAGATTGGAGGGATGGATGTGAATGCTACGGTGCCGTCCAACCCATGGGAGTATGACATGCCGGGTTGTCCGAGGTCACCGCATTTCAATGGGCTACACGTGGCGGCGTCTCGGGGGGATAGGGCCTTTGTTGATTTGCTTATTCGGCATGGGGCAAGGGTGGAGGAGAAGGAGAGGGTGACGGGCTTGACTGCGGCTGGGTTTGCGATGAAGGAAAGACATACGGAGTTGGCGAGGTGGCTTGAGGGACTGAATGAGTCTTCATGATCTGCTGTAGTAGGGCTCAGGAGTTCATCAACTTGGTTAGACGGAATGGCACATCAGACTTGAGACAATCTTACCATGGTTGCTTTACTTCTTGTAGTCCTGAACCGTATCTAATCATGTCGAGCTGGTAATGCTGGTAGCGGATCAGAATGAAGAAGCATTTTCGGACTATGTTATTATATGTAGACTACCTGTACATCGATGCCCGCTAATGAGCTCGTGAGGCTTAAACGTGCGTTTCGGTCAGTTAATTTGAACAAAGAGCCAGACTCTCAGGCTGTTGATTCTTCCAGTTCTTTCTCGCAGATGAACTAGACTTGACAACGTCACCTTGGGGCATGCCAACCCCGTTCAATAAACATTGCTAGGGTATGATTGGTCCGGCTCTGATCCCTTTGGGCGACCGAGCTGCTGGATTTGGCAAGCGGCATCGTCAACCCCACAATCTCCGCAGCAGCATCTGTGGGGTTGACGGTCGATCATGCGATCAAGAATGGAGAGAGTTCCCGTGAAGGTCCTAGAGGCTTGGCATGGGTACGGTGCATTCGTCGTGGGGTTTGGCCTTAAGCGCGGATTGGTGCGGCACAGGCCGACGGAAATCCGGAGAAGTTAGCAGCGAGCTTCCGACTTATAATAAATAGAGACCTCTCCAGAAGAACGCAGAAGCCATGCTGGATCTCGAGTGAGAATCGGACTGCATCACATACACCCCAACGGCCAAAGACCGCCAACATGTTGTTCAACCGGGGATCAACTCTCCTGGCCGCCGTCTTCTCGGCTGGCTTCACCACGGCCTTTGAGAACCCAGTGAGAGAGCCTGCTCCTGATCCGTCACTCGTATTTGCAGGCGGTAGCTACCACCTGTGAGTACCTTATTAAGCGTGAATAATCTCAGCTCAGGAGCCTCGGCTGATCTTCAATCACAGCACGTTCACTTCGTACAATAGGATCACCATCGTCCGCTCCGACAAGCTGAGCGGGCTCCCCAATGGCGAGCAAAAGACCATCTGGACCGACACAAACACCACCCGGAGCGCCAACATGTGGGCACCCGAGCTTCACCAGATTGACGGCGTCTGGTACATGTTCTACTCCAGCTGCGACGCCAGCCTCTCGTGCTGCGACAGCTGCTCCACGCGCGTTCTGCGAGGCTGCGACGCTGCTGGCCCTTATGATTGCGAGTTCCAGCACCTCGCCGACTTGATCCCACCCGAGGGCTCAAGGGGAGGTCTCGACAACAACTTCGCATTCAGCATCGACGGCACGTTTCTCGAGGTCCCGGGTTTCGGCAGATACCACGTTCTGAGCATCAGAGATAACGAGTTCAGCCAGGCTCTGGCCATCACTCAACTTGACACAGACAGCTGGACGGTTGGCGCCTGGCATGTCATTTCCATTCCGGATCAGCCGTGGGAGAGAAACATCACTGGGGCCAACCCCCCTCCTTCAGACGATTTGATCGGCGTCAATGAAGCACCCCACGTAAGTATCATTGTCTGATACAAAACCTGAGCGCATACTGACAGTTATAGCCCCTGTACCATGGTGATGACATCTGGTTGTGCTACTCCGCTTCGAACTGCGCCACACCCAACTACTCTTTGGGTCTCCTCCACTGGAACGGCGGCGATCCCCTCCTGAAGAGCTCCTGGGACAAGACAGGGCAGGTCTTCTCCCAGGCCAACGGGCTCTATGGCACCGGCCATAACTCATTCTTCACCTCCCCAGACGGAACCGAGATTTGGGTGAGTTGTAGTAATACATTTGGTTGTGGACAATTACCCATACTGACATGCCCGGTCAATAGAACGCCTTCCACGCTACAAGAAACTCAGCTGGCTCATGTGGCGGAGACAGATTCACCTCTGCTCAGATCGTCACATTCGATGAGAACAACAACCCTAACTTTGGGATTCCACAACCCTTAGGAGAGATCTTGACACCTCCGAGCGGGGAGGCGAACTAGAAACATTGTAGAGTCTCTCAAGGACTAAGTAGAGGGATATTTAGACCGATCTTCTACCGCCAATACCGCGCCCAAGTGTCTTCAAATCGGTCGCCGCTTTTACAGGGCGAGCCAAGCCTCATGCTACAGTGAGCGGGGTGAGCAGGGTGGGCAGGGTAAGCCAGACATCTTTGCAGAAAACCGGGTTATGGAACAGGGCCACTGTTATCGACATCTACACGACTGCGACAAGCGCGTGTGAAAAGAAGTAAATTAAGCACCGTGCTGCACTAGCGAATAAGAACGGAAATGGAGAGGCATGAGTCCTGGCTAATAACGTTCTAAGCGCCACAGTCGTCGTCGTACGACGCTGACACTGCCTTCAAGGCGCAGGGCCTTAAAAGTGACAGTGGCACACCACAGACCGATCCCAGGAATTAGTGGAGATAAACTGCACACCCGGAAACCGGTCCTAGGAGGATTGTGGTGCATGCCCTGCCTACCATCCTAGGATTGGTGTCAACGCCTGGGCATCAGTCCTGGGACTAGCGAAGAAACCTAAATTCAAATCCTGGGATTTAGTGGTCATCTGTAAACAGGTCCCAAGATTCCTAGTGTGTGTCCTGCATACTGTCCTAGGATCAATGAATGCCTCTACATACACATCCTGGGATTAGTGTTCGCCTGCAGTTGGATGCGTTTCCCTTGCAACCAGATATCCAGCATTCGGCTTCATTACATGCAACCAGGTGCCCGTAGGGTAAGCCCGTACTAGTCACCTCGCTGCGCACGTGGTTACAGGCAGAAGTCGGCGGCAGGATGGTGGTGGGCTGACTTGAAGTTGAACCATTTCGAGGGTTGCCATCACCCAGTGGATCCTAAAATACCAAGTGTAGTGCCACGCGTGACAACTACCCTGCAAACCATTTGTCAGCAGGGGCTGCTACATATTATCACAAAGTGATACTAAACGCAAGTCATCAATCGTCACCTTTCAGATACCCATACCATAGGCATTCACAACGGATGTGGGGATGTTCCCATCTCACAAGGTAGGCAGTGTAGTTGCGCTAAGGCACGTGCTGATTTTCCAGTACGTAGCAGTGCTGGAACTCTGTTCAAGGTGCCTTCTTACTCCACCTTCCACCTCCGCCTTACATTTTGAACCCTCCACCTCAACTTCTCAACAACACCACCTAAGCATCTCTCTCAATTAATTCTTTTCTTTCCCACAACAACCACAACGACGACCACGAAAAAAAAAAACCCCAAATTAGGCACATTCGCCTCACCAAGCCTCTGACTTTTTTTTTTTTTTTTTTTTACCTCTTCTCCTCTAACTCCTGCCAGTCCTGGCCTCAATTTTTGCATTGCACAATGGCCACCATGCAATTCTTCACAGGCGCGCCCGGTTTTGTGGATGGTAAGGAAATCAACAAAGCAGACAGAGAGATCACAGAAATGGTCTGTGAAACCGCCCACCAAACTGTGAAATCACTGTTGTCATCTCCTGCGCGCTCACAGTTGCAGTCACAGTCGCCGTTGTCTCCTTCCGAACATGACCAGACCAAGTCCATTGGCGAAACCCCTCGGCTTGACACCCCCGAGAACCTCCAAGCCGACCTCGAACATCTCTGTCTCCTGCAGACCTCTGCTCCTTCCTCGTCTTTCCCGCCTTCTGCCTCCTTCCACCTCGCCCCCGATGCCCTCGGTCGCCTCGAGCTGCTCCTCGCCCATATCCGCGTCGCCCGCTTCTCCTACGACTTTGTCACCCAGTCCGCCTATATTATGATGGTCGAGACCACGATACACAGCCAGTGTAACCGTGCTATTGGAATCCTCCTCGAGAGCGCTATTGAGCAGCTTGCTGACGCCGTCACTGCTGCTGCTGCCGCCGCTACTCCTGCTACCGCATACGGGCCTCAATTGGGCCACGATAACGACGACGGCACCGAGAACCAGAACGAGCAGAACGAGCAGAACGAATCCCTTCATATCCTCTCCAGACGCCTTCGACAAGTCTGGAGCGACAATGCCGTCAGAATCGTCGTTCCCAACAAGCTCAAGAAGGATCCCGACAACCAGTTCATCGATGATGGGGCCGCCTCCCCTATTCCTCCTTTCGTTGTCGAAATCTCCTACAGCCAGTCGCTCAAGGACGCCATGAACAAGGCCGAGCTATACGTGGAGCACACCAACGCTCACATCCGGACGGTCCTCATCCTCGACGTCCAATACCCCAACATCTCGTCCATCCGTGTCCACCTGTTTGCAACGGAAATGACAGCCGCTGGCCGACCGGTTCTGCACGAGGTCCAGAGCCTCACGCTGTTCGATTTTGCTGATGCCACCGCCGCCGCCGAGCAGGATCACGACGCTGCCGCCGGTATCGCTTCCCCAAACCCTGGCCCTCTCCGCCTGTTTGCTTCCGACTTTCTCTCCGTCGATGCTCACGTGCCAGCCCGGCTGAAGCGCCCCATTCCGTTTGAGGGCCATGGAGACGAGTACGTCATGTCTCTGCACTGGCTCTGTCCCTATGTGTTTCATCCTGCAGGCTTGCTGACTGAATTCACCCAGAATTGTGCAGGTTGAGATCCCTTTTGAGAGTCTGCGCGACACTTGCCTCAGGGCCCGAGAACTACATCTAAAGAAGCAAGAGAAAGCCCAGAACTTCTGGTAGCTATGTGACAGCTCACCCTCCCGTACATGCAATACCGAGAGAGGCAATTGCAGTTGGCATCAAGATGGCTAGGATACACGGGAGATGAGGAATTTCGCCTTGGATTGCAAATACAATGCACATGATTTGGCGTTTGGCATGGGTATAGTCGTTTTTGCTTTATAATACCCCAGTGGAATTTCAGGATCTTGCTGGAATAGAGGAAATTTCCTTGTCTTTTTCTGGTTTATCTGCTTCCGTCTCCCGCCTCGTGAGATTCGTAAAGAAGGGCCATATTTGAGGTCTCATAATGAAAGGTCGAACCTCCATTTGGCAGCGACGGAAACCACCGCCGCGGTTCTTACACAGACGGGGGAAAGGAGTTTCACAGCTGGTACGTGTCAGGAGGGTCATCGGAATCAGCTTCGTGAGCGCCGCCGCATCGTCGCCAAGGGAGGGGTCCATGCTGTCCTAGGAATCTCACAACGACGGACACAGGCGTTCTTGGTCACCTATGGGGAAGGGACGCAAGGAAGCTCAAAGGAGACCTATTTCGTTGCGATGTCTCCTCGGTTCCGAAGCTCTCGCGCCATGGCCCCGCTCACTATCGGCTACCGTATGTTACCTTCCACGCGTTCCTCGTCTGATGCTTCATCGAAGTAAGCGGCGATGACTCCGATGGGTGAGTTCCTGATACTTTTGCGGGCAGCTGATAAGTTGATCAAGTACTTCGCACTTCGCTGTCAGGACTACAACTGCAGTCACCTATGCTTACAATTTCCCTGCAGCTCAAAATGCCCCCAGTTAAGCCTCGCTTCCGACGCTGGCAAGCATTTGAAGAAAACTCACCCCATCGCCCGGCCCATTCGCTCCTCCGGACACCCGAGAACCCCGGAGACTACCGACGCGTCCCTCAATACCTCTTATACCGTTGACCTTTTCGAACTCTGCGTGAAAGCCTAGGCGGGCTGCCAACTTGGAAATGAAATGGGTACAGCTGAGAGATCTGGTCGCCGGTTTGAAGATGGATACTGGCCCGGGTCGAGTAGACAGCATCACGATAGAAGGACAAAATCATACTGGCGAAGCGGCGGCGGTAACGGCGGCGTCAGCGTCGCCTCTCTGTCCCAGGGGGCACCATCCCGGCCGAGCGCACCGGCCGTGTACGGAAACGGCTTCATACGTCTCTCCATTTCCCGTCTACCTCTACTAGGTTCGCCGGCCCGCGCGCTGCTCTCTCACCGCCACCGCATAGCTTTCTCCCTTACTCCCAAGTCTCGATGCAACGAAAGCTTCATTCCTCACTCAACGTAGGCCCATTCCTCCTTGGCTTAACGTTATGACATGCTATTCTTTTGTTTCGTTGCGCTTCTGGCTTTTCTGACGAGGTGATCTCTGTAGTATTGCGCATCTTGGTGGTCGCCGCCCTCCGAATGAGTTCCCTGTCCATCATCAATGTCGTCGCTCAGCAATCGGCCTCCCGCCCCGCAGGGTGGTAAGCCCCCCCCCGTATGCAAGGATAACTTTAGTGATCAACTTTATAAACATCTTCGGATACTTTCAGGTTTACCTTACACACCACCCCAACGTTGTAGATACGACTGATCACCGTGTCCCCTGAAGACCCTTCTGGATCTACTCGACTTACAGCACCACGGATACTATTATAGCTTCATCCCTCAGCTTCTGTTAGCAGACCCCTCACTGTCAGGTAGCCTTGCCGTAACAGGAGTCACCTGTTAGCCTTAGTGGTTTCTATTCATGCAGATGCTATGCCGCCTGCATCACTTGAACCCTTCAAAAGCAGCAATAGCTGGGTGAGCAACTGAGTGAAGAGGTTTCACCCGAGTGACATATTTTCACGCCAATACAAAGTAGACGAGTCGACAAAAAGGTCTTTAAGAATAACTAGCCGGCGGCGTGAAACCGATCCGCAGCGTTGTTCCATCGTCGTGCCCGCGTACATCGCCTCTCTCTCTCTATGTCTTGAATCCGGAAGCAACTGTACCATCATTGCTGCAAATTCTGTCGATTTACTTGGCGTTTCAGGCTCGTACAATATTCTCGACATCGTCTTCTTGCCTTTATCCCTTCTTCTGGCCATACCCATCATCGAGATGGGACAGCTAGGTTACAGTGGAGGAAACGTACCTCGGGCGTGCGAGCCAACCGCGATTTTGAACCCCGTTCGCGCTGTTGTAACATGGAAACTGGCTACGATGGAAAATGGTGAACATTGGCATGATTCTCAGATTCAGATGTGTTGCAGTTCGTTCGTTGTCACTTTCAACTGGCTGACATGCCTACGCTGTGAACTGTGACGCAAATGGGACACCACCCTTTATAAAATGAATGTTCTCGATAATTCAGAGATCTCTGCACAATGATGCCGATTGAGTCACCCAATGGATTTTGTCATCTGGCCAGGATTACCGCCATGCAACGCTCTCAGCTTTGCCTCATTGCCTGACTTCGCCGTCACGATGTGACGTAGATGCAGGTTGCTCCCCGTTCGGCTTCGTCTATAATCTCTGCCTGCAGCCGTGTATTCCTGTTGAGATGAACCAAAATCAGCCCTAGATTTTCAGCTGTGCCTCGACAGCCGTGCGGGAGTATACCAACGATAGCTTCAGAGATGTGTATGTGGTTGACAGCGATGTCAACGGAGACACAACCTACCACACCTGACCATATATCTATCGATCTGTCGATCTGTCGATAAACCAATCTTGGCCTCAAGAAAGAGTCTGGCTGAATGTCTGTTGTATAAGTACGTCTGGTCTCTAGCGTGATGCCTTGACCGAGCTAATGACATTCCATGTCAGCCAAAAAGATACGTATTTAATGATGAAACGGACTCAGAAAGTCTGGCAGCAATGAGCTTTCAAGATCTCAAGAAAGGATGCAAATGCATTGCTTTCTGCCCAATGCGACTGCTCTCCTGTTATTGCAGCTGATGGTTGGTGGGAACATGCTCGACACCATCGCGTCCCGTTGATGGTGGCTTCTCTCATCTGCTGTCATATATTGGCTTTAAATGCACCGTGAATACTCCCCCAGATGTCGCAAGAAGCTACCAATCTCTGATTGAAGCGTAGATTCTCTCCGTGAGACCTTTCATCTCCATGCTTTCAAGAAAGGAAATTCCCCTACTTTCACAGCCCTGAGACAGACATCATTGCTGGAAATAGGTGAAAGTAGGAGAATATCCTTTCTTAAAAGCATGGAGCTTTATAGCTTTGCTTTTCAGCATACCATCCGGGAGACTCGTCCCTCCGTTTCACTTTGCATCTCTGTCCGCCTGAACAGGGCCCTAGAATCCTACCACGGGATGGTTTCTGCTCATTCTTTGGAGCATAGTACAAGACGCCGGCTATAAAGAGCTTTGCGAGGCACTAAACCTCAATAACACCAGCCACGATGACATAAGTGTAACTATACACTGGAAACAGAGCTGATGGTGTAGTTTCAGACGTGAGTGATCCTTACGCTCCTCTCGACATCCCGGCGTGAAGTGAAGTACGACCCGGAAGTGGCACTTCTGTCCATCATCAGTCTGGTATTCGCGAGAACACATTCAGGATGAAGTTTCGTCTCGTCATCCCCATCTCGCTGGGCACACAAGCAAGATCACCCACAAAGGCGGGCCATCATAGTTATCGAACACGTCCAACACCATCATCAACATTTGGGCCGATTTGCCTTCTATCCATTAACCAGGTCTAATCCCCTCTTTATATACCACTCACTCACTCACGATACAACCCCTCCTCCAAAACCCACCCCCTAACCCTCTCGCCAAGCAACCCCTTCAACCCCTTCTCATCCCCCCGCCCCGCCATCTCCCTCACCTTCGAACTACTCACAGCCTCCCCCCCCTCCGTCCCGGTCACCAACTCAACCCTCTCCGCCCACTCCCTCTTCCCCCCCACCTCCTCCAACCCGCCCTCCCTCAAACCCTCCAAATACCGACGCTGCTCCTCCTCCCCGCCCCACTCATCGCCAACCCTCAAACAAACCCTCAGTTTCCCCCGTTCCAAAAACGGGCCCAGCGCAGCCTTCATACCCCCCTCCGCCTCGGGGTAATACTTCGGACTGAAGATCCGGATGAGGGTATCATACCCCGCCAGATACACCTGCTCAACCCCTTCCCCATAAAACCCACCACCCTCCACAGCCCGCGCCTTGTCATGGAAAAAAGGCATCGTCGTCACGCCCACATCAACCTCCATCCCCTCCCTCGCCCCCTGCGCCAGAAGGTCCTCCGCAAAAGCGCACATCAGCCCCAGCCGCACCGCAAAGGCGACCGGCTTCGGGGCCTTGTCGGCGTTGTTCACGGCCAGGAGGAGCAGCAGCCGCGCGCCGGCGCCGGCTTGGAGCGCGGACGTGGCCATGCGCAGGTGCGCCAGCGTGGGCGGGTTGAAGCTCGAGTCTAGCACGACGAGGCGCTTCACGGGCTGCTGCGGCCGGCGCGGGGATGGGGACGGGGCGGCATTTTCGCGGTGGTGGGGGAGGGTGCAGAGGATCCTGAAGGCGTCTTGAGACGATTGGAAAGACGATAGTGAGCGGGAGAAATATTCGACGAGCGCCTTGCGAGACATTTTTGTGAGAGTGAGATAGGATGGGTGGTGATGGTTGATGTGAGGTGAGCACGACGCGTGCATGTCACTGCATAGGGGCGGAATTTACCCCGCTACGTGGGGGTCGGGTGTGGGTGGGGTGCATCGCGCCAGGGGTTCGCAAGGTAGAAGAAGTAGCGTAAGTGTAGGTTATATGATCCGTGGAACGTGTTGATATCAACATTGACAGGTATCGTACAAGAACAAATTTACATCCCAAACATTCACCACCTTCAATCCCTCTTTTGCGACTTAGCAAGCATACTCGAGGTGGCCAGTCCAAACGCGAAGAAGATACCAATGCCGAGGAAGTTGAGCACGGCATTGATCCATGGCGGGACCCTCTGCCTGTCCGCCAAGTCATCGAGAATCTTGTCGATCCTCTCCGCCATCTTCTCCTGCCCGAAGCCGACGCGCACCCTCTGCACGCCGTCCGCGCCCATCTTCTCCAGCTCCTTCTTGCTCATCTTGTTCAGCACCGTGTCCATGACCTTGGTCCACTCCTCCACCTGGTCCGGCTCCCGCAGCCAGCCGGTAGTGCCATCCATGACCGTCTCCGTTGGTCCGCCCGTGTTCGCCGCCAGCACCGGGACGCCGGCCAACATTGCCTCGAGGGGCACGATGCCAAAGTGCTCGTTGGAGGGCGTGTATACCAGCAGCTTGGCCGACTTGAGCAGGCTATCCTTCAAGCTCGAGGGGATTGATAACAGGAACAAAACGGGGATGTCCGCGGGCGCAGAGAGCGCCGTGATGATGTTCTTGGCCGTGAACGACTCGAGCCCCAGGTCCTTGGCCAGCGTCTCCAGCTCCTTGTGGTAGTAGAAGTTCTCGGCGCTGCGCAAGTCGTACCCGCCAGCGACGACCAGCCGCGTGCCCTTCCTCTTGTCCTTGGGCAGCGCCGCGAACGCCTTGACGGCGAGCGCAATGTCCTTCTTGCGCTCGAAGCGGTTGATGCTCAGGATGATGTTCCTGTCGGTCCAGACGGGCTCTTCTGTCGAAACGGTCTCGCTCTTCTTGGGGTCGATGTCGACGCAGGGGTAGACGACCTTGAAGTTCTTCTTCTTGGCGAGGGCGGGCCAGGCGCGGGTGGCGACGCCCTTGGTGAAGCCCGAGTTGACGGCGATCTCGTCGGCGAAGCCCATGCTCCACTGCTCGACCCAGTCGAAGGGGACGCGGTAGAGGCGCTTCCACCAGCGCTCGCGGCCGAGGGCGAGGTACATGTCGGGGAAGTGGCAGTAGAAGAGGATGGGCGCCTTGGGGACGAGATACTGCAGGAGCGGCAGGCCGGCGGAGAGCTGGTCAACGAAGAAGAAGTCCGGGTCCAGTGACTGGAGCTCGCGGGTGAAGTAGATGTGCAAGAGGAGGGTTATCTGGCGGGCGATGGCGCAGAGGATGGTGAGGCGGCCGAGGATCGATTGGGGGAGCCAGTCGCCGTGGACGCGGACGTCGAGGGTTCCTGCGAGGGGAGAGTGTCAATTGTGGCTTCTTCGTAGCGGCGGCATTGGGAACGAGGGAGTGCGGTACCATCTCGAGCTTCCTCGAAGCAGTGGCCCTTGTCGCAGTGGCTCGTAAAGATGACGACCTTGCAGCCGCGGTTCTGGAGTCCAACAGCTGCATCGACGACGAGACGCTCTGCGCCGCCGATGCCTAGATCGGGATGGAAAAAGACCACCGTCTTTTTGCCGTCGTCTTTCTCCGCCATGGTTGCGGTCGCTGTGTGCGTTGTGGTGGTGGTGTGGTGTGCAGACAGACAGCTGATCTGCCTCTTTACGAGAGGACAGAAATGCGACTTGAGACGAGTCGCAAGCAAGTGGGACGAATTGACCTGGTCGGA